ATGCTGTAGCTGTGGATGAATGAAAAAGGCCCTTACTCTCCTCTGGTGGACTTCCCACTGCAGGGACCTCTGAGGTGTGAGTAGCCAAGGGCAGGGAGCCTGCAGTCTCTGGGGCAGGTGGTGAGGAGGAAGGGGCAGGCTGAGTGGCACGGCCATCAGCTACAACCTCTCTTTTACCCTCCAAGCTTTTGTTTCTCTGACAGTCAGTGCTATTCTCCAGGTTGCCCAGGTTTTTGGTGACAGCTAAACAAGGAAGCTTACGAGGTGGGGCCAGCTCACCATGATCCCATGGCGCTAGTAGTGGCAGGGGCTGCGGCAGCGGGAGCACTGGAGGCACGGATGCTTTCTTCATGTGGCAAAGAGCTCCTGGATGGGATGACTGCAGGCTTTGTGCCCTGCATCTTCTTCCCAGATGGCGGTGAGTCTGCGGAGCTCGGCTGATGGTCTTCACCTGGCACTTCCTCTGTGGACGCCTCTGGCAGCTGGGAACAGTGTGGGCTGGGGTCAGAGAGCACCGTTCCTTCTGGATCAAACCTCCCAGGAAGTGGAACATCTCCAGAAGGGCTGTAAGAAGTGGTGGCCATGTGGTCTTCAGAGGAGGAGCTCACCTGAAACATGTGGGTGGTCTTCCTCGAGCCATCTTCTGGGGGCTTAGGATGGCGGTCCAGAGGCCCCAGCCTGCACTCCAGAGAGGTGAGAACTCTGCTGGTGTCTAGGGGCCTAGATGTAGATGACATATACCCACTGCCACGGGACCCCTGTTCTCATCATCCTGCCCTGCGGGCTCTACGTGATCCTCCTCCTCTTCTGTCATCCCTTCTGCAGGCTCTTTGTGGACCTCCACTTCTGGGCGAGGAAGCGGGAGGTGAATGGCTGGCACTGGCTTCCTAACCTTGGCTACCTGCTCAGGTCATAAATGCAGGAGAGTCCGTATTTGCCCTGAAAGAGAAGGGATGCTCCTAGCTCTTAAGTGTCCAGACATCCTGGACTTAAGTGCTGAGAGAGTGGGCTTCTTCGGCTGTTGGCAGCCGCGCTCAGAAAATAGCGCCCAATGCAGGGCAGCCGGAAGGCCCCAAACTTCCTAATGACAAATCATCCCACACCACTAAACTACATGCTAATTGCGCCTTGGCATAAGGACCAATGAGACCCACCAAATGGTTATGCTAATAAGGCATATGGAGCCGCACCAACCAGGTCAGAGCATGAGAACTATATAAGCAAGCCTCTCCTTCCCCTCTGGGTCCTGCCCAACTCATTTGTTTCACAAAGAGCTGAAGAATAAAGCTTTCTGCAGAAGAATCCTGCTGTTGTTGCGTGCTGTTCTTGCCGGCGAGGACGGGGCGCGCGACAAGTGGTGCCGAAACCCGGGAACCAGAACATCACCGGCACAGGGAGGACCCTTCAGACATCTGGAGAGGATTCAGAACTGCAGGTCAGAAGAAAGCCCGGAGGGGTAAGTTCCGAGAGGCCCCTGCTTTTTAGGATGATGGTTGATGGTTCTCTGTAAATAAGGAGGCACCATGGGGAATGCACCGTCATTAGTCACGG